CGGCTGGGTGACTTTGGTCCAATCACCAGGAGACGGTGAGTTCTAGTCCTGCCTTAGGCATGAAAGCCGGCTGGGTGACTTTGGGCCCGTCATTCTTTCAGCCCAGCCCACTTCACAGGGTCGTTGTTGCGGTGAAAATCGGTGAAGGAAGGCATGTTGGATATGTTTGCTGCCTTCCTTGTAAAAATAATAATAGCCGGGGTAGAAATGAGTAAATACGGTAAATAAATTACATTCCAAGCCCCAAGGACCCATTTCTCTCGTTGCTTTTCTCTTCCAGTGTACCCTGAAGTCTGCTCAGAGCATCCCCAGGGAATTTAGGACATTGGGGGGGGGGGTGTCTCAAGTTGGCCTGGGGGACGGGCATGGAGACCCTTGAAATGAAGCCCCTCCTCAGCCGCTGAAACCAAATCGTCCCTTTTTGAACCCCTTTCTTTCATTCCTGCTGCCTTCTGCCCAAAATGGGCAGAACCTGAGCGCCACCAAAGGCTCCATTCAGCCTGGGGGGGGGGGAAGGAGGGGGGAGGGGTCTCGCACCATCTTTGGAGTTGCATCTGCAGGGAGGGTCCTCCACCCCCTCCCCGGCCCCCTCCCTTACCTTGCGGAGTTCCGGGGCTTCCTTCTTCAGCCTCTCCGCCTTCCACTCGTCCTCGCAGGGGTTGAGCGAGGCTGGCGGGGCGGCGCAGGAGCAGCGGCAGTCGCCTCCCGAGCTGATGGTCTCCACGGTGTAGAAGTCCTCCCCTCTCCTGCCGCCGCCTCCCTGGAGACGGGCGCAGGCGGCTTGGCTAAGGGGGCGCAGGATGCATTTGCAGCGGCAGTTGGAGCCTTCGGAGGTCATGCGAACCTGCTCTGGGTCTCCGAAGGGCTACAAGGGGGTAGAAAACACAGTGGTGGGATTCAGCCGGTTCGCACCGGTTCACGCGAACCGGGTGTTAACTTTACATCTGCTTCGGCGAACCGGCACTTGAACCAACGGACTGGCCCCGCCCACCCTGCCCCTCCCCTCCCCGGAGTCTCCAGGCGGCCTATTTTGAGTCCACATGGAGGGTCTCGGTAGACTGGGCTTGCATCCTGTCAGTGTGTGAGAGAGTTGAGGGCTGTTTGGAAACTGAAAGAGTATTCGATGTGTGAGCAAGAAGGAGACAGCAAGGAGCCTGGGCGTGGCTTAGCTCAACTGTTCTGTACTGAAGCTGCTTGGTGCTCTGAAACTAAAACGGAAACTCCTCTCCTCTGCTTGTGTTTTGACTTTGGAAGAGATTTCTTTTCAGTTGGGGAGGGGGAGTAGAACTCCTTAGCATCAGAGCGTGTTAATAATCATCATAATATAACAAAATACGAATGCTCTGATGGTCATTTTGAAAGATCCTTTCTTAGTGAGCCCCTAGAAGCCAAGAGGAAGATACGTGCCCACGCAGGCGAGCTGTTCCCTCCATTAATTCTCCCTGTCAGGAAATTCCTTTTCTTTGATTTAAAAGTTCCAAGTATCTCCGTAAGAAAAACGCAGCTTGTTTGCACCACGGTGGATGTGAAATACACTAGGGGTGTGTGTGAGGAATGCTAGCATGTGGGTGTGGGTGTGTCCTGGGCCCACTTCCCCTCGGGGCACCCCAGAGGGCATCACTCATAGCATAAATATGTCGGAGGCCAGGTTCGTGTGCCAAGCCAAGATGCTTGTAGTTGCACCCAGCTCCTTTTCTATTCTAAGTAGAGATGGGAGAGGAGGAGGCACAGAAAAGCCATTATCTCTTGCACAGGACTCCAGTTGGAATTCTGTATCCAGGTTTGGTCACCACACTATCAAAAAAGAGGTTGAGACTCTAGAAAAAGTACAGAGAAGAGCAACCAGGGTGATGAGGGGACTGGAGGCTAAAACATACGAAGAACGGTTGCAGGAACCGGGCCTGGCTAGTCTAGGGAAGAGAAGGACCAGGGGGGACAGGAGAGCAGCCTTCCAATATTTGAGGGGCTGCCACAGAGAGGAGGAGGGGGTCAAGCTGTTTTCCAAGGCACCCAAAGACCAGACAAGGAATAATGGATGGAAACTGACCAAGGAGAGATTCAACCTGGAAATAAGGAGAAACTTTCTGACAGTGAGAACCATCAACCGACAGAACAGAAGTTTCCTTCAGAAGTTGTGGGAGCTTCATCCCTGGAAGCTTTCAAGTAGAGACTGGATTGCCATCTGTCAGAAATGGAGTAGGGTCTCATGCTTGGGCAGGGGGGAGGGTTGGATTGCATGACCTCCAAGGTCCCTTCCAACTCTGTTAATCCGTTAAAGGTTTTAGGAGGAGGGTTTGAGTGCAGGTGGGTGTGCTGGTTTCACTTTGCAAGAGGTGGGGGGTATAAAGGCTGCTTGGAGCAGGGAGGGGACATAATGTTTGTTTTTTTGGGAGGGGGGCACACCAGTCAATCCCCTCTTCCAGGCATTTTAATTGGTCCCTTGGAAGTCATGGGGATGAGTCAGCCTTATTGAATGGAAAAAGATGGGGGAGGCGATCCGGCCACAGATGATCCAGGCTGTACTGGGGGCTGGTGATAGATAGATAGATAGATAGATAGATAGATAGATAGATAGATAGATAGATAGATAGATAGATGATAGGTAGGTA